CGTATATAAAGTACATGAGAGTATAGGAATGAGGTTGCGTATATAAAGTACATGAGAGTATAGGAATGAGGTTGCGTATATAATGTACATAAGAGTATAGGGATGAGGTTGCGGATAGACGTATATGAGAGAATAGGAATGAGGTTGCGGATATAAAGTACATGAGAGTATAGGAATGAGGTTGCGGATAAACGTATATGAGAGTAAAGGGATGAGGTTGCGTATATAAAGTACATGAGAGTATAGGGATGAGGTTGCGTACATAAAGAAGGAACTGATTGACGCAAGATCGCGTAAAGCTGCTGCCGAAGATGACCTAAATACCGTGAAAGGAACTGTTGAAACACTAAACAACAATGTCAATGCTCTCTCTAACGAAGGTGACACCCCTCCTTCTGAACAAACTTCTGTGATTATGCAATTCCGGATTAAGTTCGCGGATGCAAATATTTGTTCGCGCATTTTCGAACATTTACAAAAATCAAAAACTTTTGGGCAAATTTTTTTGTAATTTTGAGCATCCATAAATATTCCCTGGGGTCATGTGAGATCCAACACAAAATTTAGGCCCGATCGGTTCAGCCGTTTTGACGTTTATTGGACACAAACAGACAGACAAAGTATATATAGACTATAAGATCTGTCTGGTTTAATATCTTTAATCTAATATATTTCTGGTTTAATTATCTATCTTTTCTCAATATATTTCTCGTAATAAGCTTCTCAGTATTTTCTCTTTCATGGAGATGATTAGATCTTCTATTCAAGCGTTAGATAATAGAAAAAATACAAAAGCTTTCTGAAAATATATTTTTAATTTTTCAGGAGAATTTCTTAAAGAGCAGTTAGGAGCTACGGAGAAGAGGTTGCAGGAGAAAACTAGGAATTCAAACAAACAAATTTTTATTTATTCAGAGCTAACAAATTTAGAATTTTGGATATCGAGATCAATGCATGCACTTAATCTTCTCTTTTTCTTAATCTTCAGATTAATTAACTGATCGGAATTAAGGATATTCCATTTTCAGCTGAGAACTTCTAACTTTTGTGTCGGATACTCATAATCCCGATTCTTTGATCTCGATATTCACGTGGCCACTTTTAATTTGAGCAACAATACCATTTCAGTTTATCCTTATACCTGGTTAAACGTCTGACTGGAAAATTACTATGCGAGATATCGAATAAAGATTAGATTATTCGGCAAATAAACATATGATCAAGCTTAAGCATTGTATCAAAATCCACAATACAAGATTTCCTAGCTCAGAGCTCGGAACCTTTAAATGAGATATAGCACTAATCATCAACGCATAAATTCGATATCGACATCACAGTACTTTTAATTTGAACGATGTAAGGGTAACATCCATGAAGATTTTGTGACTTATGACAGATATTCAACCCGTTGAACCTCACACTAAACTAAACTAGTGGGTTGGTCGAATAGGACTATGATAGGCCAGGTACTGTAAAAAGTCTGGCCGCGCCAGCAAAGTTAAAACTAAGTTGGCATAGGATAGGGTCGGCCGGTATTTGCGTCACTAAGGCTGGTACAATGAGTCGGTCCGGTCCGAATTCAAATTGACCCTAGACCCCGGTGACCTCATTTAGTTTTTCTGAAGGGATTAATAGTACAACACAGTTTCGACCACACAATATTCTTCGGAATAAACTTGTAAAAAGAAAAAACGACAAAATTCCCAAAATAATGAAATATTGTAAGAATATTTGTTCAGCGAATCTGAACATCTCTCCAAACTTCTCCTCTCAATCCAATCCCAACCTGGACAGGTACTTTTATACTCGGAGTAATATCTATCCAAGAAAGTTAGAAAACTAAATTCAACCAAAGGAAATGAGTCTTTGCCACAAACTCGAATTTTCTAATCTCTATATCTATTACATCTGATGGTGTAAACCTTTGATATTTCAAACTTGGATTATCTATTATTACAGAACTTATAGTTTGAAATATCTAAAATATTCGACCATGGGTTGCAAAAATATTGGAATTAGAAAATCAGAGTTTGCGGAAAAGACTCAATTCCTTTCTAATTATTGTAGAATCTTAAACTATCCTATTTTTGAAAAACTTAATAGTTAATATTTCTAGGATGAAAAAGCCAAAGTTCAGATTGAAGATCTGCAGAATGAACTACGAATATCCCAGGTATATTTATACAGAAGTAAAATGACCAATGAACGCCGACTTAAATCTTGAAACATTAAATACCATTTCAAGTGGAACCAACCATATTTGAGCCGCGGCTCAAATTTTTTAATTCTGCCTCTGAGCCGGGAATTTAAGAGAGTATCGTTGAACAAAACTCACGAGTTTCTTATTTGGGTTCTAGACATTTGCGTAGATTTTAATTAAAGAAATAAGAAAACCTCATGAAATAATTTCCTTAACAAAAATATTGGTATCTACAAAACTGCCCTGACCCCATTCATAAAACCGGGTTTCCGATACTGGGTTTCATTACGATACTCTGTCTTAAGCTTTGAGCTCAGGGTGCTTTACGCCCATCTTCGATTCTAACTTTTAATTGATCATAAGCTTTAAACGTTGAGATATAAAATCTAGTTTATCTGTTCAGGATGAGGTGAAAGCAAGGCTGAATGAGATCTCCGGGATCAAGGATCGACTGAGAACGGAGACAGAAATTGTCCAACAGAGAGATATAGGAATATACCGATCCACTTAATATCTAACTATCTTCTTTTTTGGGTTTAAAATTAGAAATATCTAGTTCTTAATAATTAGATTATCATTGAAACAAAAAATATCCTTGAAACAACGAATTTCCTTGACACCAATGAGACCAAAATTATCCTTGAAATTAACCAAGATTATCCTTAAAACCATGATTATCCTTGAAATCCTAGCATTTAAACCAAGATTATCCTCAAACCAAGATTATAATCTTAAAAACCAAGATTGTAATCATTGAAACTGGGGTTGTAATCATTGAAACCAAGATTGTTATCATTGAAACCATGATTATAATCCTTGAAACCATGATTATAATAATTGAAACCAAGATTATAATCCTTGAAACCATGATTATAATGATTGAAACCAAGATGGTTTTTAATGCATTTGTATTAAAATGTAAAAGTCTAAAAATCAAATAAAAAAATCATCATCGATTTATATGTAAATATTCTAAAATGATATAACAAGATGATTGCAATATTTTCTAGAAATCGCTCGATTGAATGGACAGGTAAAACAGGGAGGGAGGGAGGATATATTGATGGTTAAGGATGGGGGGGGGGTAGGGGGGAGATAAATATTTTCAATGGTTTTGGTTGGTGTATGTTTGGCCGGTAGAAAAGGGAGGGTACTGGAGAGGGGGCGGGGGGGGGTATGTCGTGTAACTTTGGTTGGTAATTAAGTATCGTAGGACTAAAAAGAAGGATAGATTTAAATAAGAAGAAATGAAACAAAGAACGTAAAAGGAAAAAAATATGAATAGAAATGATATGTAGGGAAGGAAAATTTTGGTTTGAAGGGAAATAAAAAAGAATCATGAAAGTTGAATGTAAGAAAAGAGAATGTGAACAGGGAGAAAAAGAAGGAAAGAAAGGAAAGCAATGGGATATAAAGATAGAATGGAAAAAGGGGAAATTATAAAAGAGCTATGAATGCAGGATAATTAGGATAGAGCGGAATAAAAAACGAAAGATTAAAGATAAAAAGAAGAAGAGAAAGTATAAATGAGTTAGTAAAGGAAGGAGGATAAAGATACAAGAGCAGAACAAAAAAGAAGAAAATTAACCCGGAAGTTTGTGGTTACGGTGGGTGAAAACCACAACTTTGATACCCCCTCCTATTCTTCTATACTCCCTTATTCTGGACCCCTCCCTGGTAGACAAGAAGAGGAGTTCCTTGGACCGCCCATCTTAACCGTTGAGTTGACGAACCAGTAAAGGGAAGGGGGGGGGGGTAGAGAGAAGTGGGCGGGATAGGTGTCACAAATCTTGTTCCCAGAATAATTCCAATATTTGTTTATTTCAAGCTCTAACCTGTTTTTTCCTCTCTCTCTTGTATCTTTGTCAAGGGTAAAGAAATTGAGTCTTTGCCACAAACTCAGAATTTCTAATTCCTGTATTTTTTCAACCAGATGGCATGGACCTTTGATATTTTAAACTTAAATTATTTGATCTAACAGAATTCTTAGTTTAAAATACTTAAGGTATATGACGTTGAGGTGCTGAGATATAGGGATTAGATAATCAGAGTTTGTGGCAAATACTCAATTCCTTTATAACATTTGCTGTACAGTTTAATAACCCTTGCTTTTAGGTCAGCAGCTCAGTTAATTTTGCGCCAAATTGATTCGAGGATTAGTTTAAGTTTATGTATGTAATAAGCTTGTACAGTTTTCACAAGTTGAGTTCATGAATTTTGTGAGATTAACTTATAAAAACTGTTTTTAAATTTACCTTTATGAATTGTTTGTGATATAGGGTTTAAGGGAGGATGCAGATATTTTTTTGTCATCATAATTTGTTCTGCAATCCACAAAGCCGGAGAAAGGAGATGGAAGTGATTCATTATAATTGTTCTTTGTTACTTTTTAATCCATTCAATTTATTGTTTTCGGTTCATATTCATATTTATTTATTTCATATTTCTACATCCGTGTTTATTTACAACATTTTAGTTCCTTTTCCCTACTTTACAATGATCCTTTTGTAGATTGTTGTCCAGTTTAGTTCTAGTTTTAGTTTTCTATTTCCAGGTTCAATTTGTTGAAGAGGAGAAGGAAATTCTTAAATCGAGATCAGGGGACGTAGATTCTCTCCAGGTTTAGTTTAGTCTTAGTATCCTCTGTATTCTATATAGCATCTATATCTTAGGTATTATTTGTATACTCTGTATTCTATATAGGATCTGTATCTTCGGTATGTATTATTTGTATCCTCTGTCTCATTTGTATTCTATGCATCCTAGAACCCTCTGAAACTCAGTGTCTCCGTATCTCTTTACCTTCCAATTCTACCTCTTCGTGCTATCTTCTCTGTATCCTCTGTATCTACTGAATCCAAGGGTATCCAAGGGCAACCCTAATATGTTTAGGCGGAGATAAATCTACTAAGGAACAAGCTGAACCTGGTCGTCGAGGATCTAGAGGTTACTAGGGAGGATAACTCAACCCTCTCCAGGTATACAGGATACTCAACCCACTCCCAGTATAAAGGGTACTCAACCCTCTCCAGGTATACAGAATACTCAACCCTCTCTAGGTATACAGGATACTCAACCCTCTCCAGGTATACAGGATACACTCAACCCTCTCCAGGTATACAGGATACTCAAGCCACTCCCAGTATAAAGGATACTCAACCCTCTCCAGGTATACAGGATAATCAACCCTCTCCAGGTATACAGGATACACTCAACCATCTCCAGGTATACAGGATACTCAACCCACTCCCAGTATAAAGGATACTCAACCCTCTCCAGGTATACAGAATACTCAACCCTCTTCAGGTATACAGGATACTCAACCCTCTCCAGGTATACAGGATACACTCAACCCTCTCCAGGTATACAGGATACTCAACCCTCTCCAGGTATACAGGATACACTCAACCCTCTCCAGGGATACACTCAACCCTCTCCAGGTATACAGGATACACTCAACCCTCTCCAAGTATACAGGATACTCAACCCTCTCCAGGTGTACAGGAAACTTAAAGATAGGGTTGTCAAAAAGTCGACGGAACTTGATAAATTCCATAATATTTGTTGAACTCATAAAAAGTTCTATGACTTAGATTCTCTAGTTTATTGCAGCGTACGGTTGATTTTATTACCGCTTTAATTACTTTTCCCGTTCATTAGCTTTAGCCTTCACAATCAAGGGTCCGGAGAACTTGAAAACATAACAAACTAGCTGTTTTTATAATTCATCCACATACCATAAGAGGTTCTTAAGCAGCAAAGGAAAAAGTTTTTTGTAATTTTTATCTATTTTATATGTTTTTCCTTGATTTGTTGTTGATGTATTGTAATGTAATTTGTAATGTAGATGTTCTGTTGATGTGTTGTTGATGTGTTGTTGATGTTCTGTTGATGTGTTGTTGATATTTTGTTGATGTGTTGTTGATGTGTTGTTGATGTGTTGTTGATGTGTTGTTGATGTGTTGTTGATGTGTTGTTGATGTGTTGTTTATATGTTGTTGATGCGTTGTTGATGTGTTGTTGATGTGTTGTTGATGTGTTGTTGATGTGTTGTTGATGTGTTGTTGATATGTTGTTGATGTGTTGTTGGTGTGTTGTTGATGTATTGTTGATGTGTTGTTGATGTGTGTTGATGTGTTGTTGATGTGTTGTTGATATGTTGTTGATGTGTTGATGTGTCGTTGATATTTTTTTATTTTTTTGATGTGTTGATGTGTTGCTGTTGAGTTGTTGATGTGTTGTTGATATGTTGTTTATGTGTTGTTGATGTGTTGTTGATGTGTTGTTGATGTGTTGTTGATGCGTTGTTGATGTGTTGATGTATTGTTGATATTTTGTTGATGTGTTGTTGATGTGTTGATGTATTGTTGATATTTTGTTGATGTGTTGTTGATGTATTGATGTGTTGTTGATGTATTGATGTGTTGTTGATGTATTGATGTGTTGTTGATGTATTTGATGTATTGTTGATGTGTTGTTGATGTGTTGTTGATGTGTTGTTGATGTGTTGTTGATGTGTTGTTGATGTGTTGTTGATGTGTAGTTGATGTGTTGTTGATATGTTGTTGATGTATTGTTGATGTGTTGTTGATTTGTTGTTGATGTAATGTTGACGTGTTGACGTGTTGTTGATGTGTTGTTGTGTTGTTGATGTGTTGTTGATGTGTTGTTGATTTGTCGTTGATGTAATGTTGATTTGTTGTTGATGTGTTGTTAATATGTTGTTGATGTGTTGTTGATGTGTTGTTGATGTGTTGTTGATATGTTGTTGATGTGCAGTTGATGTAATGTTGATGTGTTGTTGATTTGTTGATGATGTGTTGTTGATGTGTTGTTGATGTGTTGTTGATGTGTTGTTGATGTGTTGTTGATGTGTTGTTGATGTGTTGTTGATGTGTTGTTGATGTGTTGTTGATGTTTGCTGTGTAGGGAGCTAGAGCAGCAGCAGGTTCTATACGGTGAGCTGAGGAAGATGCGAGGTATGGGAGAGGAACTAGAGATGCTCCAGCAGGCACAGAGGGATGTTGTCATTGCCAGGCAGATAAATTATTACTTAATATTCTATACATTATTTTTAAAACTATTTAGATACTTGTAGTTTCTCCCTCTTCCACCTTTAGTGAAACTTAAAGTTGTATAATATTAGATTACTCGCTTGGGAACCCAACTTTGCCTGGAGTTTCTAAAAAAATTAACTTTCAAAGCTTCTGTCAATGGGTTCATGAGTTATGATCAGACGACCTATAGTTCTATCTAAATTAAACTACAAACCCCTAAAATCTAAACAACTTTGAACTTTTCAGATTTGAATTTTAAAAAAATATTACCCAAGAATTCAACAAAACATTAAACAGCTACAAGGAATTGAGTTTTTCCCACAAACTAAAATTCTCTCATCCCTACGTCTTTGCAACCTGAGCTGGGAACTTTTGAATGGTGGATATCTGGATTAATGCTTAATCCACTCTTTTTCTTAATCTCCAGATTATGCTTGTTTTCCTCTTGTTATTAATCTCCAGATTGATTAACCGATCGGAATTAAGGATATCCCATTCTAAAGTTTTCAGCTCTGATGGTGTACTTGATATTTCAAACTTTGAATATTTGATCTAACAGAATTCTAAGTTTGTAATATTAACATTGGGTTGTGGCGATAAAGGGATTTAAAGATCAGAGTTTGTGATAAAGACTCAATTCCCATAACACCATAAATAAAATATTATTCTGAAATAAAATATATATTTTACAGGGAAAGAGGAGAAGAGGCGATGAATAAATATAACGAGGTTCGACAAGAGGCTGCCAGGCTCGAATCTGAACGAATGAGGCTCCTCAGAGAGGTTTGCACATCCATCGGCGTTAACGTTTGAAAATAATATAGTTTAATTTTTAAGACTAAGAAATCGGTTTTTGCCACAAACTCTTTCTTATTTTTCTTATCCCAACATGATGATGTAAACCTTTAATATTTCAAACCTAGATTATCTGATCTAACATAATTCATAGTTTAAAATAGAAAAAGATTAGAAAGTCAGAGTTTGTGGTGCAAAGACTCAATTCCTTTGCAAAAATACTTTCTCAAAAGACTTATTCAAACATAGATTGGATAAAAATAAGCGGAAGATTTCGCGTTTACTTTTAAATAAGGGATTATACTATTTTTCTTTCCCACAATTGTATTTTATAATTCTAAGAAGATAAGATTAAATTAGGCTGAAAAACCCTACTAAACACCCTATTTAATTATTGCTGAAAGAAAAAGAAAAAAATGAAAAGAAATCTTTAGTTTGAGAAAATATTTTCTTCCTCTTAGTTGTTTTGCGAACAATTAGGCTAACCAAGCGAATATTAATTGGTTGAGTCTACATAAAATACACAAAACTACAGAAAAACAAGACAAAAATTGAAATCTCAGTAGCGGATGCAGGATTAAAGAGAGAACATTCCTCCGTTAAACAGGACAAAAATTGAAATCTCAGTAGCGGATGCAGGATTAAAGAGAGAACCGTCCTCCGTTAAACAGGACAAAAATTGAAATCTCAGTAGCGGATGCAGGATTAAAGAGAGAACCGTCCTCCGTTAAACAAGACAAAAATTGAAATCTCAGTAGCGGATGCAGGATTAAAGAGAGAACCGTCCTCCGTTAAACAAGACAAAAATTGAAATCTCAGTAGCGGATGCAGGATTAAAGAGAGAAACGTCCTCCGTTAAACAAGACAAAAATTGAAATCTCAGTAGCGGATGCAGGATTAAAGAGAGAACCGTCCTCCGTTAAAAGTAGACAAAAAATTTATGGATTTCCTGCAAAATATCATTACTTGTCATATCAAAATAAAATCCCCAATAGAGCAACTTATTTTGAATTAGAATATATTCATCAAACTAGATATTTAACAATATTCTTCCATTAAATTGATTAATCCACACCGGATTATTCTTAGATTGCTCAGTTGAAATCTGGTCGCGGGATTGGAGAACAAGATAAGATTGATCAAACTAAACCTGTCGGAGGTGAACCCGTCCCATCAGTAAACCTTCAAGGGAGGAGATTATTCCAGATTAAACCTGCTCGTCATCAATTTGATTTTAATGCTCAAAATTTTCCAGAATTTCAAGTCATGAAAGTTTAGTCATGCATGGAAAATTAGCTTCACAAGCTTGACTGAACAAGTTCCTGGTTTGAATTTAAATTAAGGAATATCTCCTGATAATAGATCATGGAGTTGAAGGAAATAACACGAAGGTTCAAGTAGTACCAGCAGAACCAGGAGCAGGAGAGAAGAACTCAGCTCTTCTTTCTCAGATCGGATCATTGAAACTCTACGAGATCGTACTTGCTATGCTCTTTATTAGTTTGATTTTTTCATGGAACCCCTACACTACTCCAATTTAATCTTGGCCTAGTATCCTTTACACTACTCCAATCCGACCTTCTCTCAGTCTCTGTACTCTACTACACTCCAGCCTTCTCCTAGTATCCTATACACTACTCCAATCCAACCTTCTCTCAGTATCCTTTACACTACTCCAATCCAACCTTCTCTCAGTCTCTGTACTCTACAGACTCCAGCCTTCTCCTAATATCCTATACAATACTCCAATCCACCCTTCTCCTGGTATCCTTTACACTACTCCAATCCAACCTTCTCTCAGTCTCTGTACTCTACTAGACTCTCCAGCCTTCTCCCAATATCCTATAAAATACTCCAATCCAACCTTCTCCTAGTATCCTATACCTAACTCCAATCCAACCTTTTCCTAGTATTCTATATCCAACTCCAATCCAACCTTCTTCCAGTATCCTATACCGTACTATTTCAATCCAACCTTCTCCCAGTATCCTAGACACTACTTTAATCCAACCTTCTCCTAGTATCCTATACACCACTCTAATTAAACCTTCTCCTAGTATCCTATACAATACTCCAATCCAACCTTCTCCTAGTATCCTATACAATACTCCAATCCAACCTTCTCCTAGTATCCTATACAATACTCGAATCCAGCCTTCTCCTAGTTTCCTATATACAATACTCCAATCCAACCTTCTCCTAGTATCCTATACAATACTCCAATCCAACCTTCTCCTAATATCCTATACAATACTCCAATCCAACCTTCTCCTAGTGTCCTAAACAATACTCCAATCCAACCTTCTCCTAATATCCTATATACACCACTCCAATCCAACCTTCTCCTAATATCCTATACAATACTCCAGTCTAACCTTCTCCTAATACCCTATACAATACTCCATTCCAACCATCTCCTAATATCCTATAAAATAATCCAATCCAACCTTCTCCTAATATCCTTTATACACTACTCCAATCCAATCTTCTCCTAATATCCTATACAATACTCAAATCCAACCTTCTCCTAGTATCCTATATACTACTCCAATCCAACCTCCTGCTAATATCTTATATACACGACTCCAATCCAACCTTCCCTAGTATCCTATACCGTACTACAATCCAACCTTCTCCTAGTATCCTAAAAAATACTCCAATCTAACCTTCTTCTAGTTTCCTATACCGTACTTCAATTCAACCTTCTCCTAGTATCCTATACAATACTCCAATCCAACCTTCCCTAGTATCCTATACCCTACTCCAATCCAACCTTCTCCTAGTATCCTATACAATACTCCAATCCCAGTATTTTGTACACCTCTCTCTCTCTCTCTGGAATTTTCTGGATTAAATCAGTTTAAAATTTTTGTTTCAATAACAGATGGGCCAAGGGGGAGGTGGATGGTGGGAAAGAGGTGAAAATGGAAGAGTGTGGACGGAAATATGGATTTGTCAGAGAAAAGGGTGGGTGAGGAGAGGGGATTAAAAGAAGGATGAAGTAAAGCAAGGAGAATTATTTAGAAAAGGGAGGGAGGGAGCTAAAGTAAAGGGAAGAAGGGACGAAAGATAGGGAGGGGAAGGAGAAATAGAAGAGGGAGAAAAGGGAAAAAAGTAGAGAGAGAGGATAAAGAGAAAAAGAGGAGAGAGGGGTGAAGACAAAGAGAAGGTTCGCGTATTTTTTACCGTTTTATTTTGTAAATAGTTTTGTTAACCCTTGATTTCTACCTTGTTCAGTCTTATCTTTAATTCTGTGGTCGTTAACTGCACGATAGATTATATACAATGTGGACTTTCCTAATAAAGTTAAGTATAGTTTCGTAATTAGTATTTTTTATGTTATCAGCAAATTTTTTCTATATTTGATCCAGAATTTTTAGATAAGGTCTTTATAAAGTTTTATTAAAGAAAAATGTTAAAAGTTCAAACGGTAGAAACCATGAAAAGGAATTGAGTCTTTGCAACAAACTCTGATTTTCTAATCCTCATATTGTCCGGACCAAATGTCGTAGACCTTTGATATTTCAAACTATGAATTATGTTAGCTTAACTTATCTAAGTTTGAAATATTAAATGTGTACAACATCAGGTCGCTAAGATATAGGAATTCGAACATTTAAGTTTGTGGCAAAAACTCAATTCCTTTGCACTTAAATTTCCTCATATGAATTATGAAAGCATGACACGCTTTGTAAGCTTTAAACATTTTTTCTTCTCAAAAATGAAATATTTATTTGTTTATTTGTTTGTGAACCAAAAATCTATATTCTACACAATCATAAGGGTGTTTTTTCACATGTGTTTAATTGTTCTCCATATGAGTCATCTCACACCGACCACGTAGTAAATCGATAAATGATGAAATAAATATAATACACGTCATATGTTTGTCACATTTTTGTAAATCTATCTGTAGGCCACGTGTATCTGATGAAATGATATTTAACCTCATTAAATTCTATCACATTCTATACTGTTCCTAGCTAATATCTAGCTCTTTCTATCCCTTTCCTAGCTAATTTTATCCTGTTCCTAGCTAATATCGAGCTCTTTCTATCCCTTTCCTAGCTAATTCTAGCCTGTTCCTAACTAATATATAGCTCTTTCTATCCCTTTCCTAGCTAATTCTATCCTGTTCCTAGCTAATATCTAGCTCTTTAAATCCCTATCCTAGCTAATTCTAGTCTGTTCCTAGCTAATATATAGCTCTTTCTATCCCTTTCCTAGCTAATTCTATCCTGTTCCTAGCTAATATATAGTTCTTTCTATCCCTTTCCTAGCTAATTCTATCCTATTCCTAGCTAATATCTAGCTCTTTCTATCCCTTTCCTAGTTAATTATATCCTGTTCCTAGCTAATATCTAGCTCTTTCTATCCCTTTCCTAGCTAATTCTATCCTGTTCCTAGCTAATATCTAGCTCTTTCAATCCCTTTCCTAGCTAATTCTAGCCTGTTCCTAGCTAATATATAGCTCTTTCTATCCCTTTCCTAGCTAATTCTAGCCTGTTCCTAGCTAATATCTAGCTCTTTCTATCCCTTTCCTACCCAATTCTAGCCTGTTCCTAGCTAGTATCTAGCTCTTTCTATCCCTTTCCTAGCTAATTCTATCATATTCTAGCCTGTTCCTAGATATCAGTGAGGACGTTCCTAGTTCAATTCTGGTTAAGTCTAACTCCTAATTTATTCTATCTTATTGTCATGGCGCGCCCATTGTCATGTAGCCCATTTTAAGCTAGCTCATTTAAGTGCAATTTAAGCATATTTTATCTAATTCTATTTCTCTTAATTCTAACTTCTTTCAACCTAATTACTGCTCATTTTAGCTATGCATAGTTTTTTTAATCTTGTCTTTTCTTTTACTGGCTTATTCTTACTCCTATCGGAGTTTACAACTACCTACCAGTTAGCTTATATAGTCTTTACTTCTTAAACATTTATAATAATATTTCTGAGAAAAGAAGAATTGAGGGGCAGCGATAGAAAAGATTGCGTTCTAATTCAAATATTATATACGCATCGGACAAAGATTTAATGAAAACTGTATCATTTTTACAAGAATACGTTTTAAACAGTTCTTTTTCGAAGATTCAAATTTAAGCAATCTTTCAATTTGTTTTTAAACTTTTGTTAACAGAGTAATTTTTTATGAGAAAGCTAACACAAGGAATTTAAAATTTAAAAAATATATTAAGCTTTTAATAAATCCATTTAAACTATGAGTTTTATTAAAATGGTGAACTTTCAATATTGTTTTCACTACTAAGCACTTTCTTACACTTTATAAAGCCAATACGCAGCCAGACTTTTGTTTCTAGATATTTATCTATCTATCTGCATACTAATCTATCCATCTGATTTTAGTCAGTATATCTAGCTATACATACAGCTCATACAGCTAGATATATATATATATCATTCTATCTATATTTACATTTTAACATCTATCTTCATATTCATCTATATTATTCATCTTTTATCTAAACAAATAAATGAAATAATATTTGTTCGTTGAATGAAAATGTAGGGCGCTTCATTGTTTCCAGTGCTGACTTGTTATTTTTTTTCCAATCTGAGCCCCACTAGCTCGCTTTTAGCTTTTAATGATTTAGTAGAAATCTTGGGAGAACTTTCAAAATATTTTGCTACAGGGACTGAAATTGTAATTTCAAGTGCAAACACAGCGATCCCTGATTCACAACGGTACCCTTGAAAGCTTTGTCACGGGCAGCCGTAGTACATTTGAATTTCCGAGCCGGGTCAACCTTTCCGGTACCAGTTTTTACTTTATCGCCTGGACACTGGATAAATAAAGCAGACACTCAATAGGACTAGCCGGTGCAACAAGGTTGACGCGGTCAGACTTTTGGTTTAATTTACTTTTACTAAAGGGTCAGAGGTGTGTGTTGTTATGCTAAAGTTTGAATTATATATCAATGTTTATAATTTTGAATACTGATTATTTTCAAATGTATAATTTCTCTACGAGAGTGAAATGCACTTTTTTACTTCATGAAACTATATCGGAAATATCTTTAAAGACTTGAATAACAACAATAGCTTATATATAAATACATCAAATTAAATTAAAATTTGAAAATATTTTTCTCCAGGCAGTGTTCTGGTCGCAAAAGACGAAAATTTTTTATTGTGACGAGAAAAAAAAACAGTTTTATATTCCTCATGGCTAGGGCTTTAAAAATTTATTCCGACTAATCTTATCTCTGCTAAATTTGCGTTTGCATTTCGTAGATTATCATTTTTCCAATGAATCATAATTGATAAAAGAACATATGATGCAGCTTTTTTCCCGTGATATTTACAACAACAGGATGTCAAACTGCATGATATCATTTATTGGAAGAAAGTAGAGATTATGTATTTTACAGGGTATTATGTATCAGAAACTTTTTGTTCTAATGTTACTTTCACATGAATCATAGTGTGTGTAATAATAGGACTAGTGCTATCTTCAAATAAAGAACAGCTCTTAGATCTCCAATGACAGATTATAAACGCGCGATATAGATTGGAAAAAAATGAATTATTATGAATTTTGAATTTCAGTTTTCAAGAGAATTTGTAATATCATGTTTTTGTTTCAAAGGTTCTCGTTCCCTCAGCTTGTCTTTACGGAGTCTTTCACGATATGAAATACTGGTATCAAAAGAGATGGAAATACTGAACATTTAAATAATCTTTTTTGTCCATTAATATGGAATTTTAAAAAGTATTGTTCAAATATTGTTTCGAATTTGTTCGTGAATGTAACGTTTCAGAACAATGCAACACATGTTTGGTTTGAACATAAAAGAAACATTTTCTTTTACAAGGATAATTTTATAAATTGGATAATTCCCGCATTTCTAAATTCTAAGACATAAAAACAGGTTTTATCTTAAGTTCATGATGGGAAACATTCTTACATGCAACTAAAAACTTGAGGCGGGGCGCCCATT